TATATATATATATATATATATATATATATATATATATATATATATATATATATATATATATATATATATATATATATATATATATATATATATATATATATATATATATAATAATTATTATAATTGAAAAAGCAGTATGCAAAAAAAAAGTATTCAGCAGTATGCGCATCAATCTGGAAAAAAAAATTTTCTATATTTTAGCAGATTTTTAATGCATCCTCCTTTTTTTACAACTACTCGTACTTACCTTACAGGCAATTTTTTTTAAAGCACCATTGCATAAAATAAATCAGTTACTTTTATTCCAATGATTTTTAAACATTTTGATTTCAATACTTTTGTGCTATTGCATTTAATATTAAGAATTTTATATTAAGAATTTAAAGAAGTCATTAAGTCATTAAGTCATTATTTAAAGTCATTAAGTCATTAAGTCTTGTGTCTTGAGTTTCTCTTGAGAATAGTTCTTAAAAACATGCTGCAACATAAGTAAGTATAAGTTGCTACAAATAAATTTATAAAGTTTATTCTATATCCTTTTAATGTTACTTAATTGTATAGTTGTATCTAATTGTATAGTTAAATCTGTTTGTATAGTTACTAACAGTGTTTTACAAGCTTCAATCTTGTATTAAGCTACAGCAATAACTCCCATACCAAAGAAGGTTGGTAGACCTAGTAAAAGTCTGGGGGAAAATGTATCTATTGAAGCAGAAAAGGCAGTACTTAGATAAGTAAAAAATGTTTTTTAGATCTAATTCATATTCCAGTTATTGCTATAAACAAAAATATTGCCATTAAAACATAGATGTTCTTCTTGTTTTATTGGATTGTTGGTTTTTCCTTGGAAAACTTTAAAAGAGGAAAGCTACCATTGAATAGAGCTGTAATGCAAAAATACCTTTTTAAGAGAGAAAATGATCCTAGGAAAGAAACAAGACTGATTGCAAATCATCTAATTAGTAATACCATTGAAAAATTTGGGTTACATGCTCACATTCTAACATTTTTAGTCAAGTTTTTTTCAGGTGTTATATGGAAGAAGATGGAGATAAAAACTTTTCAATGAAAGAGAAAAAAAATAATCAGTGCAAATCTGCGGTAGTGCTGAAAATTTCAAAAAAAGAACTGTTAAAAGAAACGTGTTAAAAGAAACTGTTAAAAGAGAACTGTTAAAAGAAGCGTGTTAAAAGAAACTGTTAAAAGAGAACTGTTAAAAGAAACGTTGTTGCTGGTGGATCTGGTGAAAGACAAAAGCTACTTAAGGAAAAACTTTAGCAGTAGGTGGAACAACTTTAAATGATATTATACTTTCTAAAACATTAGTTCATAGAGCAAGATCAATTAACAAAATTTAAGAAACTAAATTAATTGAAGAAACTTAGATTCCACCTGAATTAATGGTAATTCTTTAGGATGGAAAAATATTCAAGCAAGCTACTAGAAAAAGAGGAAAAGCAACTTTGTCTATGTAGGCCCACCTCCTAAATTGCTAGATACTCCTAAAATTGCTGACGGAACTGGTCAAATCCAGTGTTGTTCAGTGATAAACCTAGTTGATAATTGGCAATTAAAATCATCTTTTTAACAGGAAATAAAAAAACTTTGAGAATATAAAATATAAAAGAATATAAGAGTCTGGTCTTATGATCAAAATAGTTTTCAACAAACAATTGAAGTAAAAAAAACAGGCAATGGAATACTTGGAGTGAAAAACCTTTCCTCGTGTAAACTATTAAGAAGTAGTGTAGCTTATTCTTTTTTTTTTTGGTATTATATACTTATTAAATAAGGTTTCCCCATTTTGGTATGATTTATGATTCTGATTGGTATGATTTATGGTTCTGATTATCATGCAAGTTGTCAAAAGCCATTTATTATACAAAATATTCCTACTTTCTTGTACTTTTAAATTTAAATATGAAGAAGCAAGAAAGGTTAAGAGGTTGGTCGATTAAATTTGCTTTTTTTATGGAAAGTACTTTCTGCTAGCTGCTATTACTGCTGCTGCTCCGACTAACAACATCTCTTTATTTTATTTAATGAGGAAATTTAAGTTGATTCACCTTAAAAGAAATCATCAAGTCAATTGAATGACACCTAGGATACTTGTCTGAAGAGCTAGTAGTCCTTTTCCTTGTACAACGATGAGTTATGCAGAAAAGACTATAATGGGTCAGAAATTTATAAACTTACCATACTTAAATATTTACTCTTTAAAACCAAAGTGTTAGGTTATTATTTGGCATGATGCTTTTTTATTGTGTTTCATTAGCGATAAGTTATGCTTGCTTTTTTATCTGCTAAAGTTAAATAGACCACAAGAATTCAATACTTCATCAGAGTATTGGATCAAATTCAAGGACTTCCATGTTGCAAAAAAATTTGTATGCAATCTTTCTTGTGTCAACGATATTGCTGAGCAAGGTATCAAGGTATCAAACTTATAGGAGACATCAAACACAAATTTTTTGATCTAGTAGAGAGAGAACATCTTGTTTTTATAAAATTTTTCAAGTTTGTTATTATAAAATTTTTTTGTCAATTCTAAAGTTAAATCTTTGTATTTAAATAATATATTATATATATATATATTTATATATATATATATATATATATATATATATATATATATATATATATATATATATATATATATATATATATGTATATATATGTATATATATATATATATTTATATATATATATATATATATATATATATATATATATATATATATTTATATATATATATATGCAAGTCCAATCAAATCTTCCCTCAAATACCACATTCTCTCTTTTTCCACAGTCCTCTCATTTTTTAAATTGCAATATCTGCTACTTTTTTGTCTACAGCAAGATAAGACTCGAGAGTTTGGAGTAGAAAAAGGTCATTGTAAGGAGCATCAGAACTGTTTGGAGCTTTAAGCCAGATTTTATCACAAATCGTAATAATGAAAAGACAGATACGGTAAAGACCTTGTAGTTCGTATGCTGTAAGTTTGAATTGTCTACGGAACAAATAGATTTTAAGACAGTATATTCCTTTTGCCATCCACCTGGCATGATGATAGGCACCTGGAGTGACTGAAATAAGTCACATCATAGTTTTCACCCATTGTGATTAGGGTCAGTTGGATGAACTCCAGGTAATCTTTTCGTGGTTTATTTTTATGGGAGAGTTGATTCCTAAGAAATTCTGACATATTTTTCTTCTTTTGTCTCAATTGTACTATATTGGGTAGTGTCAATAAGTTTCCAGTGTTCCTTGAACCGACGAAATATTCCAATCTGTGGTCCTGATAACTGGAAAAACTGGTCAAATACTGCAGCCAAAATAATTACAAGGATATGATGCCTGCAGGCTAAAAATAGTAAACGTTTATCATATGCCTGCTGAATTATAGTAATTGTACTGGTGTGAACACCAGTGTTGGAACTTGTTTTTGTCAAAACAAAGACCTGCCAGCCAATCTGGAACATCTTTTCATTTTTCCAATACCTCAACAACCGAGTTTCCCATAAGCTCACCAGTATCCATGGAAAGTTTAGGAATGGCTAATAGTTTTCAGCATTTAAACCTGGTATAATAATTGGCATCCTGTCAGCCAGGTTTCCATATGTGTCTGGTAGAATTTTACTGTCAAAATGGGAAACAAGAGGGGTATTTGGCACAAATATTTCTTAAATGTTTTGAACTATAGATTTTCTAATTGTTTTACGAGCTCTGTATATTGAGCTTGCAGATAGAGTCATATCTTTTATGTCAATTCCAACACCTTTGAGAACTGGCCCAACAATGTGTATAGCCTGCACCGATGTAGTTTTTGTACGATCAAGACTAGCAATAAATAATGAACTATCAATAACACTATGTGGTTTGGGTGCTAATTTTTTATTTTGTTTAGTTAGAGTTTCAATAGGGTGGTTTTCTAATATAACGATCTTTTTAGACTTTTGCTGGTGATACTTGCTAAATAAGAGCTCCTCGTCACCTTCGTCACCAGTTTCTTCATATTTTGAATCTGAATTTTTTTTAACCGATCCAGTCTTGATATATTTTTTCACTTCAGTTGCCTTTTTTTTGCGATGTTCTTCTTGGAAATGTCAATACATTCATTTTTTTTCAATTTGACCAATTAGCCTCACATTAGTGTCACATCTTGATTTTGATTTTTTTTCACTAAAAATACAAAATATATATAAGGTACATATTCACATAAACATATAAATATTTTTATTATTAATCAAATTAATTGAAACTTAGATGAATTGGCTTTTTTCCATAAGGAGTATCTAGATTAAACCAATTACCAATTAAAACAAACATAGTTGTAAACAAAAGTTAAATTAACACTATGCAGTATTCAAATGAGTTATTTTATCAAATTTAGTAGATTAGTTGACAAAAGCAGATAAATAAAGTTAATTGAGCTGTCACATAATGTTGGAATAATGTCATGAAATTTTGTGGAGTTATTTTTTTTCATCAATTAATATTATTTAAACACCTAGCCAATTAACCTTTCAAATTTTTTTATATTGAACTGGTCTAATGTGTGTGTGCATATGTGTGTGTATGTGAGAGAGAATCAGATTATTAGTAATAAAAGGAATATTGATACTCAAAAATAAATAACTTATGTTTTTATTAGTAAATAGTGATTAGGTTTTATTTTTTTGTCAATGTTAAAATACCAAAAAAGATGTTTAACTGACTGAAAGTGTGCCAAAGATGATGTTTAACTGACTGAAAGTGTGCCAAAGATGATCTTTACCTGACTGAAAGTGTTCCTAAGCTTACTAAAAATGCATCAAAAATTACTAAAATTGTCTTGAAATTTATTAAAAATAAATTTTATCTAAATGTAAAAAAAAGCATTTTGCGAGGAAATAAGATTTTATTTTTTGTATTTTTTGTATTTTTTTATTTTTGTTTGTTTGTTATTTTTTAAGATTTTTTCAAGACATCTTTTTATTGAAGTTTCAAATTTTTTTAGTGACTTCTGCGGAAGAATCTGTTGATGTAATTCTTGATCCAAAAATGAATCCTCCAACTGATGACCAGGCTAGTACCAAACTGTTTTTTTGTTGATTTTTAACTCTAATTGTCATTTTGATGTCTGATGGCTTTAATTCTAATTAAGATTTGAATTTTATTAACTACAAAATCTTTTTATTATAATTGTTATTTTTGCTTGCATACACCTTTTATAAAACATACCCATCTGTTTAAACTTAGTGTTTTAAAAATCTTAATTAAGCTAGTTATGTTAATTATGTTTAGTTCTAATAAATCAATAGTGATTTTTATTTACAATCAGATTTGTTTTTGGATTTTATAAAAAAAAGTTCAGAGTTATTTCTTAATAACATTTGCAAAACATTTTAATAATAAATTTTATAATAACCAAAACCTAATTAGTTTGACTCTAGAAACATACAAAAATAAAAACTATTTGCATTTTTGCGTTTTATTTTTCTAAACTTTCTATGTATCCATATTTTATAAACACTACCAGACTTTGCCACTATTTAAAATCTGTAATTAAAAACTATTTAAAATCTGTAATTAAAATTAGGTTGATTTAAATTGAATTGGTATCTTAATCTTATGGTTTCCTTAATAATACTTAAAGTGGTTTCTTTAAAAAATTTTCTCCTTTTTTTCTTTTCAAAAATAACCCTAAAATAATGGCCTCAATTCAAAGTAATCAATTTAAACCTAATACTGTGTAAGTCATAGAAAATTTTTTTTTTTTTTTTTTATTATGTTTTTAAAGAAACTTGCTAATTAAAAAAACCTTTGTAATATTTCACTAATTCATTGTGTTTTGTTAATTGTTTGCATTTTTGTATTTACTTTTATTTTATTTTTTATTTTGTTTTTTATTTTTGCTAATTATGTTTGTATTGTATCAATGTTCATCAGGTTTTATTTTTAGTGACATTTATTGAATGAATAATTAAATTGATTTTAATGGCTGATTAAGTTTAAATAAATTAATTATTAAATTCATGAATTTTTTTGCAAGAAAAATTTTGTTAAATATTTTTCAATATAGGCAACATCAATCAGAAAAATTGTTCTTTCTTGCTTTGGTGATCGTGTAGCACGGTATTTATTTATCTTTTTTTTTTTTCAGACTTTGTTTTAAATTTATTACAATGGAATTAGGTTAAAAAAGACTTATACCCCATTCACACCAACAGTAAAATAACATTTAACAGTAGTATTGTAAACAGTTTTATATTTTTTCATTCATATCAAATTTAGAACTGGTTTAGATTCCACATAGAAAGCCCAAAAGCTATTTAAATAAAACAACCCCATGTTGTTTTAATAAGACAAAAATAAGACACAGTTTATTTAAGTGCAGGTTAGGCATGAATAGTTTACTTTAAAAAAAATATAATAATGCTTTAATTTGGTACATCTATCTAGAAATATGTCTAGAGTAACAAAAAAAAAGTCTTATCATTACGGTTACACAAATGTTTAGGTATAAAATGAGGTACATAAAACAAAAACTGAATTTAACATAAATTCACCATTAAGTAGTTAAATACAGAATTAGACCAGCGTCTGTTGCAGATAAAACTTTTTAAAAGAACACGTTTGTTTTACACATTTAGTAGCTAAATTTTGAGAAAGTTTTCTTCAAGATTTAAACAAACTAATCACAACAACAAAAAAGTTCCCAGATTTTCATGGTCCCATGGTCACCGGATAATTGAGGTCAAAGTTTTGGTGTGCATAGAAACCATCCTATAGTATATAATTAAAAATGACTTTCTTTTTTTTCTTAGTTACGCCAAAATAATTAATAATTTTAATTTTAAATTTAGTTAGTATATTCTTTAGTTAATTACCAAAAGTATCTTAAAATTTGAATGCTTATTGATATAGGTAACCTAGGTTCTAGACCTTTTTATTTTTGATCTGTTTTCTTAGGAGACTTGCCGTTTGCCATTTTTATGCAATTTTTTAAAAGAAGACTAATTAAAACAGAAATAATATTATTAACCAAATTTCTTACTACTGCTGCTGATGGTAATTTTGCAGTTAAAAATCAAAAAAATATTAAATAACAAATTATTTTTTGTACAATTTATTATTCTAATCTAAATTGCTATCATTATCAGACTAAGACTCATATGATTCATCTGATTGGTTGTCATCATCCACTTCTTGATGGTTATCACCATGATTTACATTTGCAAAGATTTGGGCAAATTATACAAGCTTTATTACATAAACATCTTCTAGTGGAACAACCATGGCCATCCAACAACGAACAACCACAGCAATAATAGTGAACAAAATTAAGCGTTGAATCTAGCGCAGCAGGCAATTCTAACCAAGATATGGTAATCGAACCCTGATCATCAAACCAACCATTCCTAAAAAGACTTGGTGGGTTATTCACTGCTACATGTGATTGTTTTTTTTTTATAAAAGCTTTGTAATTAGCTCTATTAATGTGTAGAACAAGGAAATCTTTATTTGGTTGCAACGCTTCCTCGCTGAATTTACCAGACTTAAATATATAACAAGCGGAATTAACTGATTCTTTTTGTTCAGCCCTGTTTAAGTCACAGACATATGTTTTCAGTATATTTACTAGTTCATCAGATGGTGGTACTGAATCACCAAAGGTTTTAAAAACATATAAGTGCTTTGCCTTCTTCCGTAGGCACACTGTAGTGGAAATTGTTAATTTATTCAGGTCATGGATTTTTTGTGTTCAAGATGTGGAAAGACAAAGAAAATAACTTTTCTTTTTTTAGTTTCTTAAAATTGATCGAAATTCATCAGAAAATTTATCTAAAAAAATTTCTTATTGTTTAAAAATAGCGACCAAGGAAAATTTGAAACCCCCTCTATTTGACTGGGTTGTCAACTTTACGAGGTCATAACTTTTGAATGTTAAAATATTTTTCTACTAAATGAGAATTTTACAGATGAACTTTAGTCAAGCTCATAATGGTAGAGTAATTTTTCCAAGTGTTATTATTGCCCTTTTCCCTAACAAGTATTTGGACCTTGGGGCCCTAATTTGAGGATAATATGGTTCCGAAATTCTGATCACTGTGGGTTTTTTTTAACATATTATTTGTATTAGTATGAAAATAGTTATGTAGAAGTTGCTTATCTTGACAAATAAAAAATCTTGAAATTGATCTTTTGGTATATCTTCAATTGTTTAATATTAGAGAGTGGTTTCAATAACACTAATTAATGTTTATATTTATATTTATTTCCATTTACAATGAATAATAATTTTTAAAAGATATATATATATATATGTATATATATATATATATATATATATATATATATATATATATATATATATATATATATATATATATATATATATATATATATATATATATATATAAATATATATAAGGCATGCTATCGGAAAAATCTTCCCACCTTTTGCGGTGTGGTAAAGATAGTTAACGGTCGTTTTTTGAAATTATTTTTTTGTGTGTGGTAGTGTTTGTATAATAGAACATTTTGGCAGAAAAAAATATTATTTAGTTTCAAAATGTCAACCGAGCAAACTAAATAAAAATTGTGGACAAACACTTAAAAAATCCAACTTTATCAAATAGAAAGTTGGCAAAGTTATTGAAAATAGCAGAAAACTATTCAGAGAAAACAAGAAAGTGGTTGAAAAAAACGCACAGCAAATCCTAAAGCTCTCGAAAAGTTGGAGACTTCATTGGAAGAACATCCTGATTGGTCTGATAGATTTCGAGCAAAAAACTGAAGGTTTCCACTTTTTTTGTACACAAATGGCAACAGAGACTTGGATATCAAAGTTTTAAAGTAGTTAAAATGCCAAATCGCAACGATAGACAAAATTCAACCGCAAAGAGTTGAGCTAGAAAGTTGTATGACAACTTGTTAACAAAACATAATTTTGATGGATGACGAAACTTATGTTAAAATGGATTTTAAACAAATTCCTGGGCAGTGCTACTATGCTTCTAAAATAAGAGGAAATGTGAGTGATAAATACAAGTATGTAATGACTGATAAATTTTCGAAAAAATTGATGATTTGGCAGGCACTTTGCTCTTGCGGCAAAAAATTGCCAATTCATGTTTGTTTGGGCACAATGAAATCTTCGGAATACGTGAAATGTTGTCTTTCTTGTATAAAAACGACAAATTAAAGCTCATAGAAGTACTTCAGTATTGTTTTGGCCTGATTTAGCCACAATACATTACTCAAAAGATGCTCAAAAGTTTTACAATGATAATTGAGTGATGTTGGTTTCGAAAAAGATGAATCCTCCAAACTGCCCCGAATTATGTCCTATCGAAAAATATTGGTCCATCATAAAGAAGAAATTGAAATTAAGTGGAAAAACAGTAAAATCAGCTACAGATTTCAAAAAAAAAAATGAGATTACGCTGCTAAAACTTACAAAAATCACTCTGTCCAGAAACTTATGTGAGGCATTAAAAAGAAAGTCAGATTTTTCTGTAAAATTTAATTTTTTTTTTTTGTTTTTTCCCTATTAATATGTAATCTTTAAAGTCTTAATTTCTCAGAAATATTTTTCAAATATATTGAAATATATTGATTTAAATACATTTAAGCTTTCTTACAGATTTTTCCAATAACATGCCTTATATACAAGGCTGCAAGCAACCACTATTAAGTTGGGAGTTACTAGGAAAAAAAAAAAAACAGAGTTATAGAGCAAGGAAACGGTTGACAGAAGACTTGAAAAGTTGAAGGTTGTATGAGTCAGGAAAACATGAAGATGGGAGAGAGTTCCAAAGGATTGAAGTGCGGGGAAAAAAACTAGATGAATAAAAGTTTTTAGAGCATGCAGGGACAGATACAGTAAACGAATGAGACTTAGCTGAATGACAAGTAAAACGAGAATGAATTTTAGTTGATGGAACTAGAGATGATAACTCCTTTGAGCAGTGACCATGATAGTATCTGTAGAAAAGAGAAAGAGATGCAACTTTACGACGATGGGAAAGAGGTTCAAGCTTAGCAGATAGTCCAGGTCCAACAACATTTACAATGCGTTTTTGGACCTTGTCAAGAAGAGAAAGTGAATCGTTAGAAGAACCAGCCCAAATATGACAACAGTATTCCATACAGGGACGAATAAGAGATTTGTAGAGGTAGAGAATGGAATCAGAAGTAAGGAAATGGCGAGCACGATAAAGAGAAGCAACCTTAGCAGAAGCTAATTTAGCAATCGATTGTATATATGGTTTCCATGAAAAGTCAGTAGTAAGCGATAATCCAAGAAGATGTAAAGAGGAGGACTCAGTAAGAGGATTGCCATTCATTAATATAGGAATGTTGACCATATTACGATAGTTGTTTGCAGTAAGCAATTGGGTTTTTTTAGAGTTGAAATTCACAAGCCACTGTGAACCCCAATCTATTACTGAAGTGAGATCAGATTCAAGATCAGCTGCTTGTTCTAGGCGATCGAAAAAAGAAGACTTTTTGTCAAGACAGGAGTATAAAGTTGAGTCATCAGCAAAAAGAGCTACTTTAGATGAAAGGTTGTCAGGAAGATGGTTTATGTAGATAAGAAACAAAACAGGGCCCAGGATGGAACCTTGGGGAACTTACTGGAAGTTACTGGAGATAAAGAAGAGTGTTGGCCTTCAAGGATGACTTTAATAAACCAGTTAGAAAGAAATGATTTGATAATCTCAAAAACTTTCCCAGAAACACCATATGAAGCAAGCTTATGGAGAAGACCAGCATGCCAAACTTTGTCGAAAGCTTTAGATATGTTGAGAGCAATAGCCCTAGGCTCACCGCCTCCATCTAATGCACGATAAAATCTTTCAGTTACAGCAGTTAGCAAGTCGGCCGTAGAGCGAGAGGATCGAAAACCGTATTGATTGTCTGACAGCAGTTTATTTGACTCAAGATGAAATGTGAGGAATTTGTTGATCAAAGACTCAAAGACCTTGCTAATAACAGAAAGAAGACTGATCGAACGATAATTGGAGGGGTCAGAATTTTCTCCAGAGTTTTTGAATATTGGAACCACAGATGCCATTTTCCAACAAGCAGGAAAACAAGACTCAGTCAAACACTTGTTAAATAGTTTAGAGAGAATTGAAGAAAGTTCTGGAAAACAATTCTGCAAGACTGTGACAGGAATGTTGTCTGGACCACAAGCTGTAGACGAGTTTAATTGAGATATGACTTTAGCAACAGAAGCCGGAGTGATTTGAATGTCTAACAATGGGTCAACCTGTTTGACTGGAATGGAAGGAAGAGAATGTCCATAAGATTCAAGAGTGGAATTAGAAGAAAAGTTCTTTGCTAATAGTTCTGCCTTATCCTTGGGAGAGGTAATAAGATCAGTCCCATGAATGAGAGATGGAATGTTAGATCTACCCTTGTTAACAATGCTGTTGATGATTTTCCAAAAGTCTTTAGAGCCTAACTTCTGCGATAAGATGCGAGATTTAGTGAACTGAGAATAATGGAGTTTAGCATCAGAAAGCACTTTTTTACTTCAGTATTGGACAAAACATTTGCAATCAACATCAAACTATGCTAAAAAGTGTTCCTAATTTTATGTCTTAAAAACAAAACGAACTATACTACCACAGCAAACAGTTTAGGAGTCTGAAGTCATAGCATGCCATGACACAAGCAATCAGCTGACAGGTGACAGCACACAGGCAGAATTTCGTTGACAAGTGCCATTTAGCAGCGGACAAAACAAAAGCAACTTTTTTGGTTTGTTTCATTTTCTTAAGTCTGGTCTGTATCAACGTCACGGAAGTTTTATAATAATTTAAGGAAGTATCCAGAAGTTTCCAGAAGCATGCAGAAGCGTCCCGAAGTTTCCAGAAGAAACATCCAGAAGCATCCAGAAGTATCCAGAAACATTCAGAAGCATCCAGACGCATCCAGAAGTTTCCAGAAGCATCGAAAAGAAGCATCTAGAATCTTCCAGAACAGGTTCACACAGGTTCATTTTACTATATAAGAGACATGTAAACTGACATGTAATTCAGTCAGTATATGGAAGTCAATTAGTCAGTATTATCAAGACAGTTTATCGAAGTGAGTTTTATCAAAGTGTTTTGTTGAAGAACATCAATACAAGAAGTGAAATACAACAAGTGTTTCATTACATTAATACAGTCCACATCCAACCAAGACATTGTGTTCCACAGAGCGTTATTGTATCATCACAAGGTAAATGTAACACGGTAAGCCTTGAGAAGCGTGATTATTTATTTTTATTATTTTAATGACTTCAAGTGCAAAAATGGCTACCGACAGTCTTAGATTGAAACTAAGAAAGAAAATTATTGGCGATTACGTAAGTGGAATGTCACAAAAAAGTATTTGTGATAAATAACGTGTGAAAAAATGGACCGTATCAAGACAATGTTCCAAATATCGTTCTATGGGGAAGTGGCAGCAGATAACAAAGGTGGAAGACTGCGTTCCACCACTTCTAGAGAGGATTCTATGACTGTTAGATCAAGAAGGATGCCTGGATATCATCAGTCGAGATACAAAAGCAATTAGAGCTGCCTGTATCGGATTGCATTCTCGACGCCCTGCAAAGAAACCACTGATTTCACCTAAGAACCAGAAGAAAAGACTCCTGTTTGCTACATCTCATATTGAATGGAATGTGCATAAAAGGCGAACTTTCCTGTTCAGTGATGAATTGAAGTTCAACATCATTGGGAGCAATGGCATTTGCCGTGTACGTCGACCAGCCGGAAAACGTCTCAATTTATGTTGCTGTTATGAGACTGTAAAGCATGGTGGAGGCAATGTAATGGTCTGGGGGTGTTTTTCTGCTAATGGTCTAGGTCCAATACATCGAATCAATGGAATAATGAACCTTTTCATGTATAAAAATATCTTGAAAGATGTTATGTTACCTCATGCTGAATGGAATATGCCAATAAAATGAGTTTTTCAGCAAGACAACAATCCGAAACACACTACAAAAGTAGTCAAGCAGTGGTTTCAAGACAACCACCTATCGGTGATGGATTGGCCGCATCAATCTCCAGATCTCAACCGTATCGAGAACCTGTGGGAGATTGTCAACCCCAGAACTAATTGTGAAGGTGTTTGTAATAAGGATCAACTGTTTGAACAAATCCAAAAGGCCTGGGCAGCGATTCCACAAAGTTTCATTGATCACCTGATCAAATATATGCCTCAAAGATGCAAGGCTGTGATCGACAACAAAGGATTCGTCACGAAATATTGATAGAGAAATACAGCTTGGTCAACATTTTGTGAAGTTGACACACTTCACTTCACAACACTTCACTTCACTTCACAACACTTCACAACACTTGTTTTGTCCAGAAGGAAATCAAATACCTTTGATTAATTTATTAATTTTGGTGCACAAATAATAGACTTTGTGATGAATAAAACTTGAAGAATGTTGTCTCTAAACAGTTACATAGTTATTTCTCTAAATTGAAAAAATGTAGCATTTTTATATAAAGAAACTACTAACTAGCATTAAAACTAAATTAGCATTATTTGGTTGCACTTGTTTTGTCCGATATTGTGTGTATATATATATATATATATATATATATATATATATATATATATATATATATATATATATATATATATATATATATATATATATATATATATATATATATATATATATATATATATATATATATATATATATATATATATATATACACACATACTCAGAGGCCTATTCATACCAAAAACTAAATTCTTTATTTGGATTGGAATTTGACATAAGTGAAAGAAATTCACATTTAGCTGACACTCGTAGACCAAGTTTAACATAAGCATCTTTATACTCATTAATGTTTGACTCATATTCAGGTAACAAACTCGAACTAAGACATACAACTTTTACAGATTTTAATTATTTAAAGAAATTAACTTTAGAAATGATCTCTTCATTTTTTTCTAGTCTAGAAGGTTTTATTAATTCTTTTAATACGTGAATATTTTTTAGTAGTTTTGTACATTCTCCACCATTGACAACCATGTAGCTTAGGCCTTTGAAAACCTAAAATTTGGTTCTACTGGTTTACCAATAAAGTAGCATCCATAGATAGCAAATATTTTTCAAGATTATCATAAATTCTGTTAGTATTTCCACAAAAGAGATAAAATTACATTGGAGCAAGTATTTTAATAACTTTTACTTCTTCAGACAGATTAACTAATGGAAGGTTAATGCACTTAATATAATCATTACTGACGGCTTTGTAAGCATTAGAATATAATCTTTTGAAAATTTCCTCTCTTTTATTACTGTCTCAATAAGTCCTTTAATGTTTTTACAATAAAAACAAAATATTTACAATAAAAACATCTGTAAACATATATATATATATATATATATATATATATATATATATATATATATATATATATATATATATATATATATATATATATATATATATATATATATATATATATATATATATATATATATATATATATATATATATAACATAAATAAAAGTTCATAAAGATCGATTATGAAGTAGAATGTTCTATAATTAAATGTAATTTTGGATAGATGTAATAATTAGCTTATAATACAGAATGGTTTTAGACGGCAAAATCAAAGCAAAATCTGCAAAATATTTTATTGGAAATTGAATGAAATCGAAATCTCACGATGGACACAATAATGGTTTTTGGGGTCTATAACTTTGGGGGTCTAGAATGTGAACTTTTTATGTTAGGTTCTAGGATACTTAAAATGCAAGTTAGTAAATTTAAAACTTAGCTACCCAATGTGTATAACAAAAGGGCCAGCCTAAATATAGAATAAAACAAATACAGAATAAAATAAATTTCCTATAAGTTATGTTTATTTAGTTAATTGCTTTTATTATTTATAAGCTAGTTCAATAAGTTCAAAGAGCTACTCGTAGCTTTTATGTAAAGAGCTACTCATAGCTTTTAAGTAAAGAGCTACTTGTAGCTTTTAAGTTAATGTTTTCAAATTTAGAAAAATGTCACAAACAGCAACTATTCTATTCAAAAGTAGTTCATGGTAAGATAAAAAGGGTGTGCCCTTAGAGCTCTGGATATCACTTTTCCTAATATAATTTATTAAGGAATTATGTTAACACCAACTTAATTCTTTTGTTAAACTGGGGTTGCAACCGCTTTACTATAAAACTTTGCAATCAATTTCTGCTTATATATTTAATTCTCCATTGGTCTTTTCTGAGCATTTGCACATATATGATAAAAATTTTTAGTCATGGATGTACCATTAAAGTTCTCAGTCCTTTTTTTTTTTGCGTAGTTACAAGAAAATCATAGATATCTTTATTGTATTTTTTCCATGTTGTTCCTTATTTCGATTGTTCTAGTTTACATTATTAAGTTCTAGTTTACATCATTAAGTTCTAGTTTACATCATTGAGTTCTAGTTTACATCATTAAGTTCTAGTTTACATCATTAAGTTCTAGTTTACATCATTAAGTTCTAGTTTACATCATTACATATAACAACATATTTATTACAACATATAACAGCATATTTTATCAGTTAATTTAAACTTTGTATCATAAATTGAAAATGTTTTTTTTTTAAACATTAAAAAAAAGGTTGTTTTTTTTTCTACAGAAAAATTCCAATTGAAGAAGCGAAATCACTTAAAGTCAAGAATGCTTACAAAGTAAATTAAATTTTTAAATAAAAAGTTTTTTATAAATTCTTGTTTAGAAAATACTTCAATAGCTTGTTAAAGTGGGTTTAGGCCAACTCAAAGCTCTTGGAAAAATCTAAGTAATTCCAAACCTCAGATATGGATGACATGGGTCAGCAATCTTTTCTTTCATTTATCGTTGTTTTTTTCTTCTTTTTTTGAAAAAGCTGTATGCTATAAAGCTAAGCTAAGCTAGTAAGCTAATGCTTATCTAAACATGCTATTGTATATATATATATATATATATATATATATATATATATATATATATATATATATATATATATATATATATATATATACACACACACACAAATAGTATTGCGTACTAAGGTAAACAATCTGGCGTCATACATATATATACATATATAGCAATTTTGAAGAAAAATATAAGAAGTCATTTATTAAAATTATAGTGCTAACTTCCTTAAAAGTTGCCATTTTTTATTTAAACTTTCAAAAGCATATTTATTTTTACATGTTTACATGAAGTTATTTTTAAATTAACTGTTGTAATAAAGTTTTTACTTAGTACAAAATTTAAAGACTAAAAAATAAAAAAAGATTATCAATGGTAATACAAATTGTTTTTTAACTGCCCTCTTTTATAATAGTAGGAATTTCTTTATATACGTGCAATTACTACAAGTAAGTTGCATAGTTTTTATGGCATAAATATCTTATTTTGCATAATTATCTGATCAACACTTTGAAATAGTCACAAATAATGTATAAATTCTGCTAAGCTTCAACAACTTTTTGAAACAAAGAATGTAATGGCAAGTTACAGTATTCGAAAACAAAATTGCAAGAATTTTGTATTTGAAAAATTTAATTGAAATTTTTTTTATTGGAATCAAATAAAACAAAAAAAAATTAAATGAGTTTACAAATATGAAAATACTTTAAAATAATCTCAACTGATTTCAATTGAGTATATTTTTTTTTGTTTTTTTTTTTTTTAAAAAAAAAAAAATTGTTTTGGGGTTAAAAAAGTCAAATTGCAAGATTAGATAACAATCCCTAGATCTTAGAATTTAGAAATTGTTAAAACCTGCCAGATTCCAGAATTTCTATTCAATTATTTTCCAATAAAACTGTAAAATTATAATATGAAATCCACAGGATTAAAATTGGTGAGTTACAATAATGTATTTCACCAGTTTAAAAATTGTTTCAATAATAAAGATTAATAATTATGACATAATGTTGTTATAATTAATAACATTATTAAAAATATAAAAATGCTTGTAATTAATTTATAACTTTATAACTACTTATCTTTATTTTTTTTTTAATAATTCTTAATTTTTAATCATATGAGTTGTATTTCATGTTGTTACTTTCATATAGTGCTGTTCCTCAGATGAACCTGTTTATATTCACCCAACTTCATCCTTATTTTCCAAGCTGCCTGAGTTTCTTGTTTATCAAGAGATCATTGAAACTAGCAAATTGTACATGAAAAGTAAATTATTATTATTACTATTACTTTTGTTTATGTTATTATTTTTGTTATTATTGATATTGTTGTTATATATTTTATGAAATTTTTTAATTAAAATTATATATAAATAAATTTATGCAAAACATTAACTTGTTTTTGTTCTTCCAAGAGTAAATATCATTATACTATTTATAAACTTAATACATTATCACATACTAAATCTAATCTCAATTATTTATAAACTTAATACATTATCACATACTAAATCTAATCTCAATTATTTATAAACTTAATACATTATCACATACTAAATCTAATCTCAATTATTTATAAACTTAATACATTATCACATACTAAATCTAATCTCAATTATTTATAAACTTAATACATTATCACATACTAAATCTAATCTCAATTATTTATAAACTTAATACATTATCACATACTAAATCTAATCTCAATTATTTATAAACTTAATACATTATCACATACTAAATCTAATCTCAATTATTTATAAACTTAATACATTATCACATACTAAATCTAATCTCAATTATTTATAAACTTAATACATTATCACATACTAAATCTAATCTCAATTATTTATAAACTTAATACATTATCACATACTAAATCTAATCTCAATTATTTATAAACTTAATACATTATCACATACTAAATCTAATCTCAATTATTTATAAACTTAATACATTATCACATACTAAATCTAATCTCAATTATTTATAAACTTAATACATTATCACATACTAAATCTAATCTCAATTATTTATAAACTTAATACATTATCACATACTAAATCTAATCTCAATTATTTATAAACTTAATACATTATCACATACTAAATCTAATCTCAATTATTTATAAACTTAATACATTATCACATACTAAATCTAATCTCAATTATTTATAAACTTAATACATTATCACATACTAAATCTAATCTCAATTATTTATAAACTTAATACATTATCACATACTAAATCTAATCTCAATTATTTATAAACTTAATACATTATCACATACTAAATCTAATCTCAATTATTTATAAACTTAATACATTATCACATACTAAATCTAATCTCAATTATTTATAAACTTAATACATTATCACATACTAAATCTAATCTCAATTATTTATAAACTTAATACATTATCACATACTAAATCTAATCTCAATTATTTATAAACTTAATACATTATCACATACTAAATCTAATCTCAATTATTTATAAACTTAATACATTATCACATACTAAATCTAATCTCAATTATTTATAAACTTAATACATTATCACATACTAAATCTAATCTCAATTATTTATAAACTTAATACATTATCACATACTAAATCTAATCTCAATTATTTATAAACTTAATACATTATCACATACTAAATCTAATCTCAATTATTTATAAACTTAATACATTATCACATACTAAATCTAATCTCAATTATTTATAAACTTAATACATTATCACATACTAAATCTAATCTCAATTATTTATAAACTTAATACATTATCACATACTAAATCTAATCTCAATTATTTATAAACTTAATACATTATCACATACTAAATCTAATCTCAATTATTTATAAACTTAATACATTATCACATACTAAATCTAATCTCAATTATTTATAAACTTAATACATTATCACATACTGAATCTAATCTCAATTATTTATAAACTTAATACATTATCACATACTAAATCTAATCTCAATTATTTATAAACTTAATACATTATCACATACTAAATCTAATCTCAATTATTTATAAACTTAATACATTATCACATACTAAATCTAATCTCAATTATTTATAAACTTAATACATTATCACATACTAAATCTAATCTCAATTATTTATAAACTTAATACATTATCACATACTAAATCTAATCTCAATTATTTAGCATTAATTTCAGTTATTTGGTACTAATCTCAATTATTTAGCATTAATTTTAGTTTGTACTAATCTCAGCTAATCAGTAGTTATATCATAGTTATTTAACAGTAATCATAACAATATATCAATATTAAAAAATAAGTAGTTATCTTTTTTTAGGAGAATGATTTTTATAAGTATAAAATATTACAGTGTTGTTTAACTTTATTAGTGAACAAAGAAGCTGTTTTAAAGATTGATGTTTAAAATTGTAGTTTTTAATTTGATTTATTTAAATATTATATTTCATTGTGAATTAATCAAAAATGCAGTTTAAACATTTATATTGATTATTATTTTACTTCATTATTGTGTTAAAAATACTTGAAATATTTCTGTACAAGGTTATTCTGCTAAGTGGCGGAAAAAAATAATTCCAGAATGTTTATAAAAAACAAAGTAAATAAATATGAAAGTAGTTTTTTTTATCATTTTTTTGCTTGGTTTTTTTCTTTACTTTTTTATGTTTTTTACTGTTGTTATTTTTTTTTATTAGTTATTATTTATTTTGTTGTCAATATTGCTAAAATTTAATTTTATATTGTTTATTATTTTTCTTAGTTCAAATTTTTTAACTGCAGGCGAAAAGTGGATTGCAGCGGAAGGTTTTTTCCCCACATTTTTACATTAAAAATAATATTTTTAATGTAAAAATGGGGCCCTCAAAAGCCTAGGGCCAAATTTTTCCTATTAGAAGTTTATTTATTTAAACTGTAATTTTAGAAGTTATTTAGTTTTAGTTAGAAGTTTATCTAGAAATTTTTCTTTTTGTAGTTTTTTTTTTTTTGTTTAGTTAGATGCTTAAAAGATGTTGTTGGTTTTTCCCAGAGTCATCTTGAAATTATTTTTTTTTAGGTTTTTTATTGTTTTTAAATGTTTCTTTTATGGTAAAGTAATTTATTATTGCTATATCAGTAATTCATAAATCTCACATTTTTTGATTTTTGGTTAATCTTTTTTTATAAAAATCATTTATTTTTTCTTTCTGACAATCACAAAATTCTGTAACACCTGAACCAATTCAATTTGCTGTGTCATATTTTATGTTGCTCTGTTTTATTTATCTTCATAAAATGCCCAACCTTTTATTTATCTTCATAAACAACCTTTTATACAATAAATTCCTTTAAATATTTACATCTGTTTATAAGAAACAGACTTGAGATATCACCAATCCATTTTAAATTGACACAAAATCACCAGATTTTGTGTCAAACTAAAATGGAGGAGGGCATTGGCCAGAGGGGAAACTTATTGTAGATTTTGAGACTGAATAACAATTGGTTTTTTTAACTATCCTTATTTGACAAGTTTATAAAATTTGATTGTTAAACTTTTAACCTTTTGTCTTTTAATCTTTAAATCTGAAACTAATAATGAAAAGTAGTACTCCCCAAGTAGTACTGCAAACCCAAATAATTTTTATGCAATAGTTTTAAGTTTTCAGTTGGATTTCAATAGGGTGAAAGGAAGGCTAAAAGTTGCTAAAAGTTGCTAAAAGGAATAGTTGCTAAAAGTTGCTATTAAAAAGAAATGTCTAGATAAGAAGGGTAAAAAAGGTTGTTTTTACGAAAATCTCTCTATGGATTCTCTATGGATCTCCCATTTAGTAATCACATTCAAAATATAAAAGTTAAAAAACCATCTGTTTTAAGTCCTTTTATAGTATTGTTATTAGGTGAAAGTTTTTGGTGATGGCAACCTGCTCGGATAAACCCATCTCTTGAATCATGTTCATAAACAGAAGCACAAGCTTTTGTTTTCTGTTTCACAGCCTATGCGACACTTTGTGTGTGCCATGGTGTGGAATCAGGAATTATGAGATTACTTTTAAAATCAACAATAGTCTCAATAGTAAAGTTACATGTTTGAATTGGCTCAAGCGCATTATGAGTCCAAGAACATAGCTCTGTGAGATTCTTAGCACCAATATTTAAAGAAGTATGAGTTCTTTCTCAAACAGATATGTCTCCTTTGTCAGAACCTTTTCTGATTTGAAGGATACAACCCACTGCAAAAACCCGCTCTTTCACTATAGAACTACAAAGCAATGTTGTTAGAACAGCTTCGCTTTGAAAAAACCAGGCTCCTGATATGATATATTTTTCAACAATAGCCCTGGTAACTTGGTTCTGCATTTTTGCTAACCTTAACGTTTCTAAAACATATCTTGGACTTTCTATAAAAAAAAACTTTACCTTAACATCAATCCACATTGGATAATAAACCCCAACAACCTACTCAAATATTCAACTTAAATCGTTAAAGTTTTGCCCAGAAAGTCCATGAGCTGAGACCCAGATTTGTAGCAGCCTATTTACAGTGGTCAACCATCTGCTGTGGTTAACAGGACCACACTCCATCTTCTTAAGATCTATAGATAAGTTATCTGAACGTATAGCTAAAATTATTTTATATTTATAGAGCTGATCAGTTGAAAGATCATTAATAACATCTTTACTCAATTCAATTGGACTTTTACTAATGGTTATTATTGGAAAATCTTGAGCAATGTAAGTAATTTAGCACAACTTAATAATTTACCCGCAACCCCACTGAATGTATTATTGGAAGTTGTTTTTCCATCAAGATCTTGAATCTAAGAGGAAGCTCATTTGTATGCAGCATACAAATAATCCAAGTTAACTTTTTATTAAGAAGATCCTCTATTCTTTTTAAAGCCCCACCTAAGCTACCAGTGTTAGTAGTTGTAGAATCAGCTCCAATATACTGTTAACCTATATCAAAATTTTTACACCAATCTGCTATAGGTTTGGCTATCATTAATGCAGGTTTTTCATCAAGGCTAGGTTCAAGTGGAGAAAAATGGAATAAATATTTTCCTTCTGGTTCACTAGTGACCATATAGAAGTCCATCTTTATTGTTATTGAATAGTATTTTAATGTTGTTTTATCTTCTTCATTATAAAGATATATTAAGTTTTATAATATAATAAGATATAATTAATTTTTTTCCCATCAAAAAATAACGCTTTTATATCTTCTGACTGATACAGCTGTAAATGTAAATCATCCTTCTGAACATTTTCCATTACTTTTTTCTTTTTTCTGTGAATCTAGTGGTGATCAATAATCAGTTTATTGTATTTTTCATTGCCAATTCCAAGATCTACAAGAACTGCAGAAGAAATAGCAGCAGCTTTTCTATTACTTGTTTCTTATCTCAAAACTGTTTGAGCATCAATTTTGACATTTAAAAATTGATTGGGTGATTCCTTTGTTTTTTCAATAAAATCTACATCAATTTCTTCATTTAAAAACTGTTTAATACTTAACTCTGCTTTCTTATTCTGCTCCTCATAAAATTTTTTAAACACTAACTTTTGATGAGCACTTTAATAATTTTTTTTTTTTTTTGTATTGTTTAGTTAGTTGAGTATGTTCTTTTTTGTCTCTATGATGTATTAGGTAAGCACTTGTAACTTTTATTTTTTGAGCTCTGGTGAACTTTGGCTCTATTTCAGAAATTTTTAAGCTTGCAAGGCAATTACAGTTTTTTTTTTTTTTTTTTTTTGTTATTCACCTCCTCAAGGCCGAGAAGGCCACTACAGACGAGGAGGCTACTTAATAGTGGTTATAACCCTCTTTCAACTCTATAACTCCAAAACACAAACCTTGACAAACAAGGCCGCTGCGTGGAGAAACAATTTGAGCGCGGTACTACCAGGGGTGTGGTGGGGATCGAACTCGGAACCTCTTGCTTATGAAGCGAGTGTTTTACCACTACACCACTACCGCATATATAGGAGAAATAGCACAATGAGAACATTTAGAGTCAGAGCAAGTTGGATCTTCCTTGCATATAATATTATGTTTGCAGCAAAGAATATTAAATAACATTTAAATTTCATTATGTATCTCATCTTTTATAGAATTTTTCACTTTTCCCCAAACAGTTTGAGTAACTCTTTTCCATTCTTTTTCAATTTTTTAAATTATATAGTGATTAGGCTGAATTTGAATATTAATATTCACTTTTTTATACTGTGCAACAACCTAAATCAAAATCATTAATAATATTAAATACAGTATGACATAATAATAAAACAAATTGAAACAAATACAATAATAGGGAAATAATAAATATAATAAAAAATTACAATGTTAGATTAACTAACTTAATTAGATTAGCTAACCTTACAAGATGACCTTTTGGCAGCTTTGTGAATTATCTCATTTGACACTTTTTTTTTTTTTTTTTTTTTGAAGATTGGTATCCAAGTTCTCCATTTCTATTAGAAAGAATTGCAAAACATTTCTAAGGATTGGCAATTCAGATGGTAACAAGTCACCAAGACCATTAAACTCTTTAACTTTTTCACTGCCTGGACAAGAATTACTTTGTGTCCTTTTTATTTTTTTCATAATTTTTAATAAACTAGAAAAAATAAACTTGAACTTGGATTCCTTAAAACATATACATAAACTATGAAGTTAATTGTCTGTTAAACCATCAGGCTAAGGCTTAGTCATTTATTTAAAATGATAAGATTTAATGTTTCAAAAAATATTTATTTAAATATTTGAATTAACTTGCAAACAAATTTATATGAACAAAACGAAGATTGTTAATATGGTTATTCTTGGACTTATTTCTTGTTACCTCTGTCTTTATTTATAATTCTACAAGGTAAAATACGTCTTTAAAATTTCCACATAAAAACCAAGAAAATATTAAATATAATTTTAAAAGTAAACATTGCATATTTAACAACAGATAGCTTTACAGATTAAGAAAATCAGATTATAAGGTTTTTTTTTTGTTTTATGTAGTGTTTCTCTATAATTAATATTTGAATCTATAAATTATAAACTATATACAGTTATAATAAAAGTTTACTTGCACAAAAAAATGTTTTCAGGTGTAAAAAATAATACTAATTTAATTTACGCTGCATTTTTTAAGTCTGTATTTTATTTTTTGTTTTATAGTTTTGTTTAATCTGTTTCTGACTAAAAATTTTATTTCATTTTATTACTGTAAAGTATTTCAAACTTCATTTCATACTGTAAAGTATTTCAAACTTCATTTTATTACTGTAAAGTATTTCAAACTTCATTTCATACTGTAAAGTATTTCAAACTTCATTTCATACTGTAAAGTATTTCAAACTTCATTTCATACTGTAAAGTATTTCAAACTTCATTTCATACTGTAAAGTATTTCAAACTTTATTTCATACTGTAAAGTATTTCAAACTTCATTTCATACTGTAAAGTATTTCAAACTTCATTTCATACTGTAAAGTATTTCAAACTTCATTTTGGTAATTTATTTTGAAGTAATAAGAAAAAAATTTTATAGTATATCTTAAAATCTTTAAGAAAAAAATATTTAAATTTTTAATTAAAAAATTTTTTTTTTACTACACCCTACTGTAGGTGATATTCAAATGTATGTAGTGAATGATTTTTTTTTTCCCTCAAGTGTAGAAGATGTAATATAAAAAGAATACAGAGAAAAAAAAGATAAGGACATGGAGAGGAAAGAATCAAGCCATCTTAATCTTTGAAATGCCCTGATACACATACTAATTCCAATTTCAGTCTTAAATCTTTTCTTATCTTTTAAAGTTGCACCATGCATCCATTTGATCATAAGCTTCTATACTCTTTCTAGATGATAGACATAATCAACCTTTATTGTCAGTGTTTTACTGCCATACATCACTATGGACACATGTGCTGCATAACTTTCTAATAAATCTTGTTGTTTAATCTATGGTTGTAATTTTTTTTACTCTGAGATTGAGGCTTGTGAAGCAAAAATAGATTAGAGTAGGGTATGTCTGTGCCAAACTTTAAAAAAAAAGCTCAATTTTCAATAGCAAGAGTTGCGTTATTTAAGATTAAAAAAAAGTTATACCTCACATGTATCCATAGTGTTATGATGTATGGCAGTAAAATATGGGTAATTAAGGTTGATGGTGTCCATCATCTACAAGGAGCAGAGAAGTTGATTATCAAATGTTACAGATGAATTAAAAAACTTCAACTAAGGAAAGATAACGCTCAAGATCTTGTATATTGGAAAAATATATATATATATATTTTAATGTTATTCACCTCCCTAAAGCCGAGAAGAACACTATGATCAAGGCGGCTGCTTTACTGTGGTTGCAAACCTCTCTCAACTCTTTAGCTCCAAAGCACAAACCTTGACAAACAAGGCCACTTTGCAGAAAAATAAGTTGATTGCGGTACTACCTAGGACATAGTGGAGATCTAACTCTGAACTTGATGATGATGATGATGATGATGATGATGATGATGATGATGATGATGATGATGATGATGATGATGATGATGATGATGATGATGATGATGATGATGATGATGATGATGATGATGATGATGATGATGATGATGATGATGATGATGATGATGATGATGATGATAAAAAACAAGATATATTCTATAAAAAAGAATCTTATTTTATAAAACGTTCAGGTTATGTTATTAATTTTTAACTAAGCATAAGTAAATTGTATACTGAATTAGTTTATTGATTAAGTGTATTTCCAATGAAATGATATCACAGCTTGAATCGACTTTAATTGTTAATGATAAGAGTTTTGAATTAATTTTTGATTTTTATAAAAATTTAGGTAGATGTTAGATGTAGATGGCAGCGAGCTTTATTTCTGTACAGGGGCGAGTTTTGTCACTTGCCAAGGAGGGGGCTAAAAAAGTCATTAAAAAAAAAAAAGACATATTTTCATTTAGTAACTTTCTTTTTTAATTTTTTTCTACTTTAGTGTAATAATCAAGTTCATATACGTATTAAACGTATAATAGTCAATTTCATTCGTCAGTATGATAGTACAATTTTGTAAAATAGTCAATTTACAAAAGAATATTTCTGATAAAAAGTCCCAAGGAGGGGGAGGGGGTACTAGCCCGCCTAAAACCCGCCACTTTTTCTGTATTTTAAGAAGCCCACCTGGAAAAAAAAAGTGACTTATTGATGTTTTCTATTTTATAGCTATTTTATGTACAGAAGAGGAGTGGTTACCAAAGTATGCTCATTACATGTGTAGTTTTGCAAAACCGCTAGAGGATGTTCCTCCTGTTTACAATGAAGAAGAGGGGGTGGTTAAATGTTACATGACTTGCACATATGGTATTTATTAATTTGATTTTTAATCTTTTAATTTTTTTTTTTTTTTCATTTTGTATTTATATTTCAATTAATTTCATTATGTATTTTTTATTTCAAAGTATTGGGTAAATGCTAATGATTTTTAGTTACTTTTGTATTTATGTTTTTGAATCACATAATAAACAAGTTTCTGATTTATATAATAAGGTCATTTGAATAATAAAGTTTAAATTTTATTTCCGATTTTTTTAACTTAATTCAAAACTTTTATCAATTTTATCAATTGTAGTTTAAGTGATTATTTTAGCCGAGATTTTAAGATGCTTATGTATTATTTGGTACAAAATGTTAACTTGCGCAACTTATTGCAAAGAATGTTTTTATACTAAATGGAGGCTTGGAAATTAACTTTATATTCAATTTTGTTTACTTGTTTGATTAACTTTTTAAAAAAAATTTGATTTATGCTATTTTTCTCTAATTGTTTATTCTCTCTTTTTTTATTCATCTCTTTTTATTCTCTATTAGGCCGGGTGAATAAAAATGAGCAACTGCTTTTACTCAGTAATTGATCAGCTTTACTTGAATAAAAACTTCAGCAGTTTTGCTCAAATTTTTATTCACGTAAAGTTAAGCAATTTTTTCAGTAATTGCTTAGCTTTACGTGAATAAAAACTATTGAATTTTTTATTCAAGTAAAGCTGATCAATTACTGAGTAAAAGCAATTGCTCATTTTTATTCACCCGGTCTATTCTCTTTATTTTATTTTTACCATTATTATTTCCAAATTTATAAAAAAGATCTTTATAAACTTATCGACACCTTAGTGTATATGTTTGAAAATTTTTCTGTTAATGCACACAACCACTAGTGTGTACAAATTGGTGAAACTAAAGCTGCAATATTTCATTGTCTAAAATGTTCTTGAATTTATTTGAAAACAGTAAACAGCTTATAATAATAATAAATAAATAGCAGAATGATTTCCATTGCACCTTTTTAAATGGATTTTATAAAAATACAAATAAAGTTTAAAAAAATACTTAAAAAAATATTTTAAAGTTTTAAAATACACCCTAAAGTTTTGTAGCTAATTTTGTACATGTTCGGCCCCAATTACTAATTGTATTATAAACGCATTGTTTATTTAAAAAATACATTTTTGTCTGCTCCTGCCTACAATATTAATTGAACAGCGCGAAATGAGTATTTATGAAAAATTTGTTTAAAAGTAGCAATAACTTTACAACAAATAAGTTGGAGCAGATAAATTGCCCACAATCATATCTTAATAAAGTTTTAAATAAATAACGACGCTTTTTTTTCTACTTGTAAGTATTTTATTTTAATTTAGTTATTCCATGAATAAATTATTTCAAGTTAATATTTCAATTGTTGAGTTTTTTTCTTATTCGTAATAAAGATTTTTTTTTTTTTTCTTTTTAAAATTTAACATTGATTTTTTTTTCAATATTTTAACCTTCGTAAAGCTAAACCATAACAACTACAGACATAACAAACATACATAACAACTTCATTGATTCCCCATTTTAGTAAATCCAGCCTTGTTTTTATGCGATTTCTGATGAGCATATAAGTTTTTTCAGTTCCCGTCAACTGATCCCCCCATCCTCCCTCATCCCCTATTGTTTAAGCTACTTCGTTGTGCTTTTTTTTACGGCGTGAAAACTCTTTTATAGTAATTTTTTATAAATAACTATAAAATAATTACAAAAGAGTTAATGATGGGAATTATAAATTCATTTATTATTCAATAATTAAATGTTACTTTAGTTTTAAATTATTTACAATAAAATTTTACATTAAATTAAATACATAAATTTGAATTTTAGGTTCTCATGTATGGAAGATTTCCCCCCAACTTCTCACTTATCCAAATAGTCCTGAAAAATATCGTTGGTTTGCTCGTTTCATATTAGAAGGCCAGGTCATAAGTAGTCTTAAAAAATTTGCTGAATATTTGGTAACACCGGCCTCAATAATGGTGAAGAGCTGGGCGCAGTAAGACCGTAATTCTATTTATGACCTTAGTGTGTTCTTGAGAGACAAAAGTTGTTTTTTGCTTCTTTTATTTATTATACTTTCAAAATATATTTACATTTTTTTTATTTCAAATTAAAAAGTAAATATGTGCAGTAAACCTTTATGTACCCATTCATTTATTCTTCAAACAGATCGCTTTAGATCTATGAACAGCACATAATAAATGCTCTTTTCTTTTTTGTTTTAGCTTGCAACCAAAAACCGATAAGTTGTTGAATTGTTTGATGCAAGAAAACATTGATTGCAAAGAAAAATTAATTAAACATTGGAAAAAAGACAACAAATGTAAATACATACGGTTTTATATTCATTTCATCAGAACTTGGTATATCGAATTTTTTTTTTGATATAAAGTATTTTTCTAATGTTCTATTGCCATTGAGTAAACTTATCTGTCAAAATAAGTTATATTGTGAAGGTTTTTACTTCGTAAAATATGGAACTTTTTTTATATACATTTTTGAAATATGATCTGGTACGTCATTTGTCTAATTTTTTATACATCTGAAGCATTATATTTTTAGTAGAAATAATTTATATTAAAAAAAATTTTATTTTTAAAATTGAAAAAAAAAAAAAACCAGCTTGCATATGATTAAAATTCTTTGAACTTGCATATTAACTAAAATTTTATTTTATTTTTAGTTTTATTGAAGGAATATTTGCTTTGGGTTAGCGAAGTCAAACACGATGAAGTCGTAACTTTATGGCCTCCTTTTAAATAACATATTTTGATTCCTTTTACATGTGTCAAAACTTGTTTTTTTGAAAAAAAATCCTCGTTTAATTTTGTGTTATTTGTTCTTAGGTATTTTTTGGTACTAAAATTAATACAAACTGTATAATTTATACAATTTTTGTAGGCGGGACTAAGTTGGTTTTTAGCTGTTTAATGGGAATGGATTTGTTTTTTTTTAATTTTAACATAGATTTGTTTTCCCGATATAATGTTTGGGAATCATAGTAACCGTTTTTAAAAATCTCGTTTTAATTTTAATAATCGTATCGAGGTGAGGTGCAAAATAGTTACAGAATCGTTTCTATTCCAGCAAATATTTTTTTCGGAATCAGAAATGTATAATGCAATTTACCCGTCACGAAAATTGTTTTATTGAAATTCTAAAATGCGATAAACTAATTAAAAATTTGATTTTGTGCGTAAACGATAGTACACAATTTAATTTCATTTTATATTTTAAGACACAAAAGAATCGTTTATTTCAGAAACTCGTCAAGTGAAATTTTTTTCAAAAATGATATTATATATTATGAATGGTCTTTAGTAGTTATTATGAATGACCTTTAGTCTTATGCAGAAACGCGTGTTTATTTATATATATATATATATTTTTTTTTTTAGAAATTCAAAACGTATTTATTTTGTCTGGAAATTTACGTTAATTGCAAAAACCTCTTTAAAATTTTGAATTGTTTTTAGTTTTCCGAAAATTTAAAAAAGCGCACTTGACGTGTTTTTAAAATAAACAATTTAAATGTATCTTTCAATATTAAATTATTTTACATTTAAAATTATAATTTTACGAAAAAGTCCCCTCATATAATTGTTCTGATTTCGTGCAACTTTTTTATATTGCCCTACTTATAAAATAGACATTAACTGCAAAATTTCCATTCTGAGATATTCTAAAAAAATAAAAAATGTATTTATCCAACCAGTCAGCTTGGTACATGTCAGAAACTTTTAATATCATCAATTGACTTAAAAAAAGACCTTTCCTGAAGTTTTAATGATTTTTAAAATATTTTATTTAATTATCATAATTTAGCGCTACAGTTTTTTTGATAGTACTAAAATTATTAATTAATTTGTTAGCATGTTTTAAGGAAGAAAGAAAACTAATACAGTCTTTTTACTTTGTACCATAAGAGAATATATGTTAATGAATCCTATGTCATTTTTCTTTTTTTTTTTTTCACTTACTGTCTATATTGTTAGTAGTATATTTAAGGCAAGCTGTATACTTTAATCTACCTATGTTTGCTCTACTTAAAAAAATTCACAAATATATATATATATATATATATATATATATATATATATATATATATATATATATATATATATATATATATATATCAAAGTGATATTCTATAACAGTTTTTAGAATGCAACATTTTGTTTAAGCAGGTTTTCTTTGAATCTTATTTTATCGTTATTTTTAATTTCAAATTTTTATTGTCATAAAATATATGCGAGGCCTAAATATCTGTCTGCCGTAAACACCACGGGGCTGTAGACATTTAAATGAACGGTTACAGTCGACCGGTCGCACATCTTAAACGAAAATTTGTTATTATGTAAGGGTAACGATTTACAGCAAAAAAAAAAAAAAAATTAAATAAATGGAATATTTTTAACGTGTATATCCAACTGTGAACAATCATAAAGAAAATGTTTTACCGTTTTCTTAATTATTATAAAACAGTTTTCATTAAACTTTAAAGTCTGCGTATAAAATAAAAGTGAATTTTTACTTGTAATTAGCGGGGTGTTTTTTAGAAATCTCACAAAAATAAAATCATATCAAATAAATTCTGTGCAGAAAAAAAAGACGATTCATCGATGTTTCATTGAAGATATGTAATAGTGTTGAAATAATGCTTTTTTAACATTTCGTTTGACGGTTTTGGAAAGTGTTTTAAAATTTAGTTCAGCTACATAATTGTAGAATGGATGAAAATTTTCTTGAGGAACAGTATGTTGTTAATTTATTTGTTTTCTATGGTTTGAAATAAAAAGAGTCATTTTCTAAACCCTAATTTCGCTATTGTTCAAAAGTTAATATTGTAATTATTGCATAACTTAATATTACATTATTACATAACTTAATTAATGTTGCTTACAATATTGTAAATATTGTAAACAACATTATAAAGACACAAATTAAATATATTTTATTAGTAGTATAATAACATTATAAATAATACAATAATATAATAACATAAATAGTTAGGTTTTAACAAAATTAGGACTTCAAATGTGACTTTTTTTTTAAATCATCGTGGTTCAACGGTTAGAGAGCTGGACTCCACATTTAATGGTCTCGTTAAAGCTTGTACGCCACCTTTATCAGTCAATAGTAAAGAAGGTGGCAAGAAATAAAATGTAAATTTCTTAGACGGCTTTATTTTGAGATAATGCGTCTAAGAAATTTACGTTGAAATAAGCGTTGAAGTTTATTAAATATTTTAAAGCAAAAGCAAACTAAATCAGTTATACCTAACAATGAATAAATACACAATAATCTAACTTTTGCTGTTTAGTTATAAATAAATATCGTAACTATTGGAATATTGGGCGTATCTTTCTTAAAAAATATTTATACTAAACAAAGCCAGATTAATTAATTTTGGGTGCAGATAGTTACGAAAGCTACATCGTTAACTAATGCCAATCGATTTATTATTATTATTATATTTTATTCGCATTACATTAAAGAATTTCTTAATGACATTTCGGGGACCGTGTCTGATAAACTCGATTTTTGACGAAATAAAAATAAAAAATTAATAAAATAACATCTATTGACATTGAAAGAACATTAAAAAATATTTACTTAATTTATTGTCGTTCTAAATTTTTTTTGTTTCTAAGTTGTAGAGAAAAAGTAAAAAATGAACTGAAAAAGATTCTTGAAGTTCAGATTTAACTTAAAATAGTTTTTTTAATACTAAAATGTAAACTTTTCAAATTTACACTAGTATAAAAATATTTATTTATCATTATTTTTTTTTTCTATTTTTAACTAAGCTTCAGAATCAAGAGACCCAAGATGCCTGTTTTGGCCTTATATGCAACATATATAAAAAAGGTGACGTAAACTTTCAAGTTAAATGCACTTCCGCGGTGTTAAGTTACACAGGAACTTATATAAAAAATATTGGAATTTCATTTTATTGGACTTAATGGGGAGGATTAGGTAGTATATACATATCGCATATGTTCTATATATAAACTATGTAAATACTACATATTTTAGCAACCCTCATTTTTTCTTATACCAGTCAATCTATTTTTAGTGACTAAATCATACCATGATGCATTGTAGTTTTGCGGTATTAGGGTTTAAAACTTAAAAACTATTCTTTATTTTTAGATCTTGGGGTGTAAAATTAAACTTTTAACCTATTTGAAAACGTTTTTTAAATCAATTGAATGAAGTTCAAAATTTTCATTTAATTGTCTTCAAATTTAGTAAAAAAAAAGGGGAGGGCTAACATCCTAGAGTTTTATTTATAGAGCTTGTTTTATCCGAGGCTCTCATAAACGCGGTTTCCACATAGCGTCGATAGTACCAATATGCCCAAGTTTGTAGTTTGCTTCACGCTTAGAAGTTACTTTTCTTAACAAAAACACTTGTCGTCCTTTAATGTACGCCTTTGTACGCCTTTAAAATAAATATATTTATAAAAACTTTATCAAAAGTTATTTTAAAGTTTTTGTAAATAAATTTTTAAGCATAAAGTAAACTTAAAAAATCGAAGTCACATGGAGAGATTCAATTTTTACTGAATGAGGATAGAATCTCTCAATATGAGTCCATTTCAATATGAGTCCATTTCAACTGTTGTTCATATGAGACATAAAAGATCTTTTGTTGAGGTTAGCGCTCCATCTGCAACACATAATATTTTTTGATTTTATTTACACGTGAAATCTTTAAAATTATTTTTAATTTCTTTATACTCGTTATGAATGTTTTATATTTAATAACTATCATTTATTATTTTATTATAACTGTTTTATATTTAATAATAGTTATTTTTTGTTTCATATTTTATTACAATTATTATATATTTTATCATAACATTTTTATATTTCATAATAATTGTTTTATGTTTTATTATAGTTATCTTAAACTTTATCGTTTTTATATTTTAAAATTGTTGTATTGTTTATTATAAATTTTGGTATGCACAAAAGAAATATAGTATAATAGCAATAATATAATAACAAAACAATAAAATAATAACATTCTTATTAAGAACTTGTTTTTATACAGACGCAGCACAATAAAGTAACTAACATGTGATACCTGGACAAAATTAAAAAACTTATAACTTTGAGACTAAAGGTACAATTTTATTTCTGTAAAAAGATAATTAAGGTTAAGCATATGAAGCTTCAGATTTAAAAAAATTATAAGTTTATCATGCCATGTCTGCGAACTTTGTCCACTCGGATGAAAGAAGCCTTGCCAAGTCGATGTACGCGATCTTGACTGATTCGTTTTATGCAGTAGTTGATCCTGTCAGTAGTTGATCTTGTCAGTGAGCTGGTCCACGATTTTTGCTCTCCAGCCACAATCATTTACTCTTCGTTTTAGTTCTGATCAAAAGTCTTCGATTGGTTGGTGTTCTGGCACATTGGCAGGGTTGCGCTTCTTAGGCACGAATTCGATGTTACTCGCTTGGAGGAACTCCTGCGTATTCTTTGCGTAATGAGATGTAGCAAGGTCAGGCCAGAAAACGATCTTATCGTTCTTATGAAATGTTTCGATGAACAGAATCAAACACATCATCAAGCACTTCTGGATGTAGACATCTTGATTGATCGCTTGGCCCGAAGGTGTCACCAGGTGCTTAGACTGGCCGCCCTCGGACATAGCAATCCAAACAAGTACCTTTGGCTCAAACTTGGATTTGCGCTTGAGTTTAACAGCTTTTGGAGTCATTTTGACGTCAGACGTGTAGAAACCAATGTTTTCAGATAGCTCGTTATTGCTCAACGAAAAATAGGACTCGTCGTCGATGATCACCTTCTTTTTCCGTAAAACTCTGGCCAGGTGGGCACACTTCGGACGAACGGCTAATTTCTGTTGCGGAGTTCGATCCAGAACTTTTTTCTTTGATTGTTGTCTTGGCGCTAATTGTTTTTGATATGTGCTTTTGGCTGATACCATACTCGCGGGCTAGCTGACACTGGCTAACTCCGTCACTATGATAGAATCGCTGTTTCAGCATGGTGATTCGCTTTGTGTTCATCTTAATTGCCACCCGTCCAGTTCCACGCTGTCTTTCAGGGCCTATTTTGAGCATCTTGCGTAGCAGAATATCAAACAGGGTTGACCTTGATGCGCCTTTGATCATGAAGTGTCTCACAATCTCACTTTTCTTCATACCCGGATACAAATCGATTAACGCGTACGCGCGCTTTCTTAGATCTTTCTATTTTGAGATTATTTTCTTTGCCGTTATAAATAATTGTTTGCTAAAAGATATATTGCAATTTGTTGAGAGTTAAATTTACTACAAAACAGCATAAGTTGCAACAATTTTGCAACACTCCTTAAACAATTTATGTCGACCGAACTTTTGTCCGGATTTCTAGGTATCACATGTTATTTACTACTAAGTAGTGTCAGACATTTTTTTAATTCCAGTAAGGTGCTTCGGGGAAATCTAACGGTCTTGTCACGGAGCACCGCAGAGAGTATTTAACGAGAAAGTTAATGTTCGGAGTAATCGAACATTTACTCTAAATATAAAATTTACAAATTTTCTTTAACACTCATATATCAACGTATAAAACTTTTACTTGCCATAAATTATCATTTGAGTGTTGATGTTTGAAACATTTATTGCATTTTTTATTATAAATACCAGTTTTGTTGTTTTTTGTAATTCTGTATAATTGAGTTTTATTTACGAGGTAAAAGGTCCTTAAGTTTTAATACTTCTAACACGGTTAGCACGGATCCTTATATTACCTACCTAGCTGTCCCAAGAACGCCACTTATACGTAAAGTTAGCGTACACATCAAGGTACCCTGTGATGCAAATTTTGAAATCATTAAATTGTCCGCGGAAAATAATTTAATTTGAATGTTCAGATTAAGTCAAATTTTGACTTTATAGTGCGCCAATAAAAACACTTGTTGAATTTGAACCACTCAATATAATTTGGTGCAAATGTAGCTAATAGTCACACCAAACTCTGGACAAAATTTCAGCCTGATTGGATGATTAGTGTAGAATTTATTGCAGTCTTAGTTAAAGTTTTGTCAGTTTTTTGCTACTTATACCTCAAAGCGTTACCGATTACTTTGAAATTTGGTCACTATTTTTAAAATAACGGTTACATGAGTGTTCTACTATGTAATACCAACAATTTTTGTTATAATTATTTTATCGGTACATGTACAGTTTACATTTTATAAACCAAAATAGTGATTTTCTACTTAAAGTGTGATTTAAATAGTTTTATGCTAATAGTGTTGACACGGCCTTCATAGTGGAGAGGGTCAACCCCTCAATTTCTAAAATAAAATCCATAATTTCTAAAATAATTGCCTATATTTCTAAAACAAAAGGTCCTCGCAAAAAAAAAGTAGAGTAGGACATGGCCCCCTAGCCTCCCCGGCGTTGACGGCCATGTATGCTTCGCTTGAATATACCAACATTTTCTAAGGTATAAACTGCTGCCAAAAAAAAGCTAAAAAAAGTGCAAAACATGATCAAAAGACTACCAGTTAGTAAAACAAAAAAAAAGTAGATCTCCTAAAATATTTTGCATTGACCTCTTTAAATACATTTACTTTTAAAATGAAGAGAAAACTATTTAAACCGTATTTTTTACATTGTATTACCATCAAATATCTAATTACATTTTAAGAAATGTTTTTTTAATTTTCTCCACCAAAAGATTATTAATAAATAGCTTAATGTACTCTTTTAATACAAATACTCTATAATA